TTTATCCCCATACTTACCTACGGTCATGAATCGTGGACCATCACTGAAAAGCTTCGAACCCGGGTACAAGGTGCGGAAATGGGCTATCTTAGACGAGTCGCTGGCCTTACGCGTCTCGACATGGTCCGGAATACTGACATCCGGATGAGCCTTGGTATACAGCGTTTGCTTCTCCAGCTTGAGAAGTCACAGCTGCGATGGCTTGGGCATGTGTTGCGAATGCCTCCAAAAGTTAAGGCTAAAAACAACTAAGCTAAGGTTAAGGTTAAGCTAAGTTAAGGCTAAGCAAGTTCCTTGCAAATCCGCCCGGCAGAAGGCCCAGGGGATGGCCAAGATTAACCAGGTGGAAATATATGGAATGGGTCTGTTCGAAACTGCAGCTGTCTTTTGCCGAAGCTCAGACTCTGGCACAGGATCTGGAACAATGGAAGCTCTGTCCGACACGTCTGCGTCTGCGACCCGAAAGGAGAAGAAGATGAAGACTGTAACGGAAATAGATGAATAGACGAATATGTTAATTAATTCACGTCTGTTTTAAAGATAAAGACTGAAGTCAGCGTTTGTCCATGCCCCTATTAACTGATAGTAACTTTCATAATTGAATAGTTTTCTATTTTGATTCACAGTTCATAAATTTCGATTGGAATTTAATCTTATTTGAACTTAGAATGAACTGATTTTTAAAATTAGTCTACATCTGCCGGTTTCTGCCTCATTAACAAGTTAGTAAGAAGGTGAACTGTCACTTGCCACTATTCACATCGTGGCATGAACAAACGAGAACACGATGTTATCCGTATAATTGGAAAACGAATCTCTACCGGTTTACTGTAACTTTACCACGGCAGAGGGGTGAATTATTTGCGCAAGAGTGAGCAGAAAATGGAGGTAATACTTAAGCGGTGCTGAGACTTTAGACCGATAGTACTGGATTGCAAAACCAAGCTACAATAAAACATCACTGCCCTCCCCCACCCACACCAAAATATTAACAGGACCATGTTAGTAACTTAATTGTGAAATGCAGCGCATTCGGAAAAAAAAGCAGATCGGGTATTTTTACCTACTCAAAAGTGCATTAACGGGATGGCTAAACTATTTACAGTATAGTCGTAAGTTAGGACAATTTTGGCCGTCTACGCATACAAGTCGAATCGCTTAGCGCTACCATTCCAGTGTGGCAGATGAAATTTTTCCATGATACAGTCACTTGCTAAACAGTGAATAATGGCCTAGAGGCTGAACAGAAGGGAGAAAGAAGCTGAAACGACACACTGACGACTTCGCGAAACGAAGAGAAAATAACATCTTGGATGACTTTTGATGGTCAGTTTTCAAAAACTAGTCGGTTGTTGATCTCATGAAGTAAACAATACATCAATCATGCAATAAACAACTCAAATCAGACCTATTAATCGATCCTTGTTCACCGTTGACAGCTGATCGAAACGCGAGAAATTGAAAGACATCGTCGGCAGACGGTAGATAGTGTCGTCGAAGCACGCTTCGACTTGTGTTTCCGAAGTAAACGCAATTTCGTAATCATTCGCGATTGACGTGAACTGACGATTGGCCGTCTTCACCTGCCCGTAGCTGATGTAATAAACCTAAAAATAAAGGAATAAAAAGATTACCGTGGAACATGAAAAACAGCTGATCGAATGTCAGCGTGCCATATGCTTTTATGATGCCCCTGTTACAGCGGTTTCCATGGAGTAGCTGTAACATGATGTCTATATGTAACATATACTGCAGCATATATTCAGCTACATAATATAGTACAAAATGCTAAATAGCACACTATACAGTCGAGTATATATAGAACATATACTGCACCATACACGCTATACAAAGATATTAGTAAGTTCTGATTCTATAAAATGTACTACACTATATGCTCTGCTATATAGGCCAGTATATGTAGTATATATAGCATATAAAGAGTAAAGAATCGAAGTAAAGTATATATAGCATATACTGTGCCAAATACACTATAATAAGTCACCAAATTCTGGATCCGTACTGCATGCTATACTATATATACTCTATTACAAGGTATGATATTAAAAACTACATAGAATACTAGACTACTAATATACATAAAAATTATATATAGTATCAAGAGTATAGTCGTAGTAGTGTATACGTCGAATATACTGTAAATTCCACATTCCATTTACTAACAGATTCTACGAATGAATTCTAAATCGAGGGATAGACATATCTGTTCTCTACTTTTCTAATTAGAATTAAGTGTGACGACTTGATTCCTCAAATGAACCACAGAGTCGTTCCTGCACACGTCACACTTCTTTCGCAAAAACGAGCAAGCAATATGCCCTTCTTATGTTATTCTTTCATCTCAATGGAAAATAAATATAAACTTAGAGCTTAGCCTCAGCTGAAGCTGAATTTAATATATATCATGAGATGCAAAATTTTCTTGCAACTAAACGGAAAGATTTACCTGTTTCAGCTGAAATACGTTGTAGAGGCGGTCGCATTCCTGATTGAAGCCCGTGGCACGTATTTCACCACTTTCGTCGGCCAGATTAACGCTGAACAGTTTGCCCTCGCCCCTCGAGTTCGACCATGTCTTAATGTTGCTCTTCATTGTCAATCGTGCCAAAATGCACCATCTTAATAGAAAAAAGACATATAATAAACGAGAATGCGAAGAGAAGCCTTAAATGACGCTTACTTGTGTTGGTACGGCGTCAGAGCCATGATCGGACAAACGGTGTGGGATGACGCATGAGTGGTAGCCGGAAAACTCTGTTGCTTCGGCACTGCGGAAGACGGAGGCAAAGACTCTGAACAATTGTTATATCAATCTAACTAAAGCATCTCCTCCGATTATTTTTTCATGATGGCAAATCTTGAACACAAATGGGTAAAAGGTGAGTCGATGATCAGTTTGGTTGTAATATTCATATTGGATATTAAGTTCATATCTAGGGTCTCTACATTTTAATTCAATTCAATAAATTTGCTTAAATAATCGCGGGTCAGCTCAAGTTACACTTCTGTTATACAAGTACATATGACGGGTAACTGAAAGGCATAGTGCATAAGTCGCGATGAGTTCTAATTATTAAGCTGCTAACGTTGGTGAAATTCTCTATCGGTTTCAAGGGTATCTTGCAAAAAAGATATCACTATCTTCGCCTCTAAGATATACCATGCGAAGCGAAAGAGGCGAACGACAAAATACTTTCGTTCAGCGTCAGAAGAGAATAAAAGTATTGTTGGCCGATACTGCTTTAGATCTGCACTCATTGAGCTTTCTGTGCAGAGGAATACGTCAGATCTAAAAGAATAGAGATGGTTGACCTGAGCCTGACCGCTCCACAAATCAAAATGCGGCTGGACAAGAAATGTTAGCTACGATTTTGATGATCCAGCTAAGAATCGAAAGAGGTATCGGTACCTGAAACATTACTGGTAACGAACAATGTACGAAAGTTTCGCTCTAATGAGTAAATCGAAAGTAAATGCATCGATGCACGGAAGAAGATAAAAGCTCATGAATCCGTAAGCTGCTTAAATGGCTTCATGGAAATCTATAAACAAAAGAACAGTGCAACACCGCAAGTACGAAGGACAACGCATGGTGTTGCAACGAAGCAAGTATTTGCACATTTTAAAGGAGCTGGAGAGAAACAGTACCAGAAGTCGGACGACGAAGATACTGCGATCTGATACCTTGAAGAAGGCCCAGGAAATACTAAACGACGAAAAGAGCGAAGTCGATCAATCCATTTACCTGGGTCAAGAGATGAACATGCGGCATGATGAGGCTGGAGAAATTCAACGAAGAAAATGGGCCGGTTGGGCGCGTTCCATTTTATCGATGACGCCATCCTCGGCGACATCAGGAACCAGTAAGGCCGTACCTGGAGGGAGAAGGTTCGGAACCGCGAGGAATGGCGGGCGTACTGCGGCTAGCAAGACTCATCGCTGATTACCGACCTTCCAAGTGAAACAAATGGTAGAACGTACCCTTTTAAAGTTCCTCACCCCACTGAAGAATATGCTAAGCCACGTTTGGAAAACAGAGTGCGAACAAAGTTCATGAGATTGCTAATGATGAAGTCCAAGGCCTCCCTCAAATTCACTGTCATCGTGAAATTGACGCATGTTACAGGTTTGCAATTCGTTCTGAACAACTGTGGAGGGTGAACGTCAAAAACAACTAGATGAGAAACGGCGTGCACCCGGATTATCTAATGACGCTCTCGGCTAACAATTGAATCCAAACTTATCATCAGTTATAGCATGACGAAGCCGAAGAAA